TTTCACACTTCCATTGAGTGTTTGGTTTTAGCTTATTTCTTCCCACAGTTGTGAAGCGAATTCCTGCAGTCCTTAAATTAGTAACACAGCTGTTAAGTGAACCTGGGTTCCACACTGACTTGTCAGAAGGTCGCAAAAGGGGACTACGGCCATCATAAATAGGAATCAGATGATTAGTATTTCTTATACAGTAATTAACACGCTCTGATGCTAAGGAGTTCTACTCCCCCTCCCCACCTGAAAAGAACTCTGTTCCAACTGCCAGTTGCCTCATATTCCGTTATCTCAGTTCAAACTGGCAGACGTTCCACTCCTTCACTCAGGAGCAGTTTGGGGCTCCTTACAGTACTAAACGTCAGTACTTCAACAAAATGTCTACGCCTTCCACCTATGAAACTGCTTCTGGACTCAAGGCGGCGGCAGCGATATTCCCTTATGTGTTTCAATCATCGACGGCCACTGAGCCAACAGATTGTGAACAAATTTCTCCTGCATAACGCGATCACATAGTTTCATCGCAAAGCACGGGTAGTTACGCAATTACTCTATCGAGATTTTTAAAACCATTTTATTTCTGTATGAACTATGCATCTTATTGTTCAATCTACAGTTTGTGAACTAAACCATCCTTGTTATCGTCCAGGCCTGTTAATGGAAAGGGGAAGGTAGACAGGAGATGTCGGGATTAATTTCCCAGGATCGTGTAAGGAATGCTACAAGAGAATCAACTTCTTTGTTTTTCCACTCAAGGTTTCCCCAGGGAACCCTCCTCCTTTGGCCCTGGAGCAGGAGGAAGTGGAGCCTCTGGTGGTACCCCAGTCCTCTCCAACTCGTGAGCGCTCCCCAGACGTCATCTCCTCAGCCTCGACTGCCATGTCCCAGGACATCCCTGAAATTGCCTCGGAGACCCTGCAGCGCAGCTTTGGTGCAGCCCCCTCTGGCCTTCCGGTAGAAATTCTGGACGCCAACCATCACACGGACAGCATGGCTTCGGCGGCCTCCGCACTCCACTTGCTTTCCCCGCGCAACCGACACAGCTCAGAGCCCAGCCATCACTCCTTGGACATGACCCCCAACGAGGTGGACATGCTGACCGCCCCCTCGCTGCTGGAGATGGCCTTACCTCAGGAAAACGTGGCGTTGGATAGCGGGGTGAGTCAGCCGTGGCCGGCCGCCCCTGACATCACCAGGGAGACAAGGAACAGCATGGCAGACAGGTAAGGCCAGAGTCCATCGCTCTTCCCTGGGGCCCACGATGGACCATCCCTTAGTTCCATGATGGCGAACCTATGGCATGCGGGCCAGAGGTGGCACGCAGAGACCTCACTGTGGGCACACGGGCCGTCGCCAGCTGCTGTTTTGGTTTTCGGTGGGTGCGCACAAGTGCGCTGGCCAGCTGGTCTTTGCGGGTGCTGGAGCACTGGAAAACGCCACAAAAATCAGCCTAAAAACTGCTAAAAATCAGGCATGTGCATGTCAGCCAGCTGGTCTTCGGGTTTCTGATGCTCCGGCGTGTGCACATGCGTGCATGCGCATTCTGGTTTGCGCACTCGGTGCTGAAAAGGTTAGCCATCACTGCCTTAGTTGGTTCTTGTATTCCCCGTAAAATTAAAACAAAGAGCGCAGGAATATTTAGTCCACAATATTCACTGTGTTCAGTGAAAGAACACAGGACTCTAGCTTAGAAAAATCAAAAGGATGATTGAACTTTTAAGAACAGGTGCCTGGTTACCAGGTTTCCTTCTCCTTCCCATCCTCCTTCGTTGTTATGCTGCGTCCTGAGAGCAGGACTTTGTGAGTTAAATTATGATGAAAGGTGTTGACCAGGCTGAGCCTGAGCGAGGAGTCAAACGCGTCATCAGTTTGGAGTCATTGTCTTCCTGCAAGAGACCCAAGCCCAGACCCACCCACACGAATTCCCGCTTAGAGAGGGCTACAAAGCTCTGTGAAGCGGTATATAGGTCTGTTAAAAATAGCAATAGCAGTTGGACTTATATAGCAATAGCAATAGCAGTTAGACTTATATACCGCTTCATAGGGCTTTCAGCCCTCTCTAAGCGGTTTACAGAGTCAGCATAT